GGGGGTAAAAAAGCCTCTAGGCTGAGAGTTGGGTCTTGGAACATTGGGACGTTAACTGGGAAGTCTATAGAGTTAGGTAAAAGTCTTCAGAAGAGGAAGATCAACATAGCGTGTGTTCGAGAGACTAAGTGGAACGGTACTAGGGCACAAGATGTGGACGGGTTTAAACTATGGTACTTAGGAAGCGCCGGGGGTAAGAATGTGGTAGGTATTTTAGTTGACAGAGAGCTCGTGGTCGAGGTTAGGAGGGTGAATGATAGGTTGATGAGTATTAATCTTGTAGTTGGTGAGTTTACTATAAACGTGATTAGTGTATACGCTCCTCAGGTAGGTTTGGACCAGGAGGTCAAGAAGCAATTCTGGGAGTATTTAGACGAGATGGTGTGTAGTATGCCGCAAACAGAGAAGTTGTTCATTGGCGGAGATTTCAATGGCCATATTGGGGCTAAAACTAGGGGTTATAATGATGTGCATGGTGGGTTAGGTTTTGGGGATAGGAATGAGGAAGGTAATTCACTATTGTATTTCGCTAGAGCTTTTGATTTGGTTATAGCTAACTCGAGTTTTTTGAAGAGGGAAGAGCACCTGGTCACTTTCCAGAACTCAATGGGCAAGACTCAGATTGATTATCTTCTCTGCAGAAAATGCGATAAAGGTCTGTGCACTGATTGTAAGGTCATCCTAAGTGAGCACCTCACGACCCTATATAGGCTCTTAGTTATGGACCTAGATATCAAGAGGAGTAGGAGGAAGAGGGCGGTGCGTAGGAAACCTAAGATCAAGTGGGTAACTTGACCAAGGACAAGGCTCAGGAGTTAGGGGAGAAGTTGTTGGCTATGAGGGCCAGGATGAGTAGGGGACGCGTCTAGTATGTGGTTCACGACTGTGAATTACATTAGGGTAGTTGCTACAGAGGTCTTAGGGGGAGCGTCTAGTATGTGGTTCACGACTGTGAATTGCATTAGGGTAGTTGCTACAGAGGTCTTAGGGTCACAAAGGGCTCTCCTGGGGGTCATAGAGGGGACTGGTGGTGGAATGGAGAGGTCCAAGTTAAAGTGGAAACTAAGAAAACTGCTTATTTAAAGCTAGTAGAGAGTACAAATGAGGATGAAAAAAGGACTTATCGGGAGTGTTATAGAAACACAAAGAAAGAGGCAAAGTTGGTAGTTACGAATGCTAAAAATGTGGCGTCTGCTTGTTTGTACGAGGAGCTCAGGGGCAAAGGCGGGGACAAGAAGTTGTACCGGTTGGCCAAGGTAAGGGAGAGGAAGGCCCGTGTCTTAGACCAAGTCAAGTGCATCAAGGACGAGGATGGCAAGGTATTGATGGATGAGGTATTTATTAGGAGAAGATGACAAACATACTTCCATAAACTGTTGAACTAGGAGGGGGATAGAAGCATTATGCTGGGTGAGTTAGAACACTCTGAGAGTCGACAGGATTTTGGGTACTGTAGGCGGATTACGGTAGAGGAGGTAGAAGGGGCGATGCGTAAGATGTGCAACGGCAGAGCGATGGGGCCAGATGAAATCCTGGTGGAATTCTGGAAGAGCGCAGGGCGAGCAAGTTTGGAGTGACTCACTAGGCTGTTTAATGTTATTTATAAGACGAAGAAGATGCCCAAAGAATAGAGGTGGAGTACGATGGTTCTGCTTTACAAGAACAAGGGTGATATCCAAAATTGTAACAATTATAGGGGTATCAAGCTGTTGAGTCATACTATGAAGATTTGGGAGAGGGTGGTGGAGGCCAAGGTGAGGAGGTGCGTGTCTATTTTCGATAATCAGTTTGTATTCATGTCGGGGCGTTCGACTACGGAAGCGATTCATCTGGTGAGGAGATTAGTGAAGCAGTACAGGGAGATGAAGAAGGACTTGCATATGGTGTTTATTGACCTTGAGAAAGCGTACGATAAAGTCCTAGAGAGGTCTTGTTGAGGTGTTTGGAGGCTAGTGACGTTCCAGTAGCGTACATTAAAGTGATTACGGATATGTATGACGATGCTAAGACTCGGGTGAGGACTGTGGGTAGTGACTCAGAGCATTTTCCTGTGGTGATGGAGTTGCCCCAGGGGTCGTCTCTTAGACCATTTTTATTTGCCATAGCAATGGATGTACTGTCACGACACATCCAAAGGGAGGTGCCTTGGTGCATACTATTTGCTGATGATATAGTGTTGATTGACGAGACACGAAGCGGAGTGAACGCAAGGTTGGAGGTTTGGAGACAGACCTTGGAGTCTAAAGGTTTCAAATTGAGTAGAATCAAAACAGAATACTTGGAGTGCAAATTCAGTGATGAGACCCATGAAGCAGACGTAGAGGTAAAACTTGATGGTCAAGTTATCCCCAAGAGAGCGAGTTTTAAGTATCTTGGGTCTATTATCAAAGGTAACAGGGAGATTGACGAAGATGTCACACATCGCATCGGAGCGGGTTGAATGAAGTGGAGGCTCGCTTCCGGTGTTTTATGTGACAAGAGGCCGCCAAGACTTAAGAGTAAGTTTTATAGAGTGGTGGTTTGACCGGCTATGCTGTATGGGGTTGTGTGTTGGCCAGTCAAGAACTCCCACGTGCAGAAGATGAAAGTAGCAGAGATAAGGATGTTGCGATGTATGTGTGAGTGTACCAGGAGAGATAAGATTAAGAATGAAGTTATCCGAGACAGAGTAGGGGTAGCCTCCATGGAGGACAAGATGTGGGAGTCGAGGCTGAGATGGTTTTGACATATTAAGAGAAAAAGCATTGATGCTCCTGTTAGGAGGTGTGAGAGGTTGGCCATGGCGAGTTTGAGAAGAGGTCGAGGTAGGCCTAAGAAGTACTGGGGATAGGTGATTAGACAGGACATGACACTGATTCAGCTTACTGAGTACATGACCCTTGATAGGAGGGTGTGGAGGTCGAGAATTAAGGTAGAATGTTAGTGGGTAGTTTTTAGTTGCTCACGGATAGTCTTAGTAGCACGCATGTCCCTTCATATTCTTAGATTTTTATTATGTTATATGATTTTGTTTGCATCAGGTATTGTATTCTCTATTACTATTATTTGGTACTACTTATTCTGCTGTCCCTTTTTCTTTTCTCTTCCCTCTTTCTTCCTTTCTTACTTTCTTACTTTCCTCTTTTTCTTATTACCCTTCCTGAGCCGAGAGTCTATTGGAAATAGCCTCTCTACCTGTTAGGTAGAGGTAAGGTCTGCGTACAGATTACCCTCCCCAAGCCCCACCTAATGGGAATATACTGGTTTGTTGTTGTTGTTCTTTATAGTTATTGTATTATTTATTATTTAATATTATTATACTATCATATAATTTTTTATTAGCTTAATAATTAAATTAATGTCTTGCTTATTATCCTTTTAATAGTCTTTAATAATTATAAATATTTTATTCTTCAAATTTGGTATATTTTTATGCTTGTATCCTCTTATTCGGAAGTTTTTAATCATTTAAATTTATCAGTAATATTTTTTAAATATTTAATTATTTCATTTATTTATTTTTAAATTAATTTAAAGTATAAGTATCCTCACACTACCTCTATTTTTTTTTTATATTTTCTTCCCCACTGTAAATTTTAATTAGTTTTTATATTAATGTTTTATCTATAATCAAAATAATATTATATTTTATTTTAAATTTAACAGCCTCTCTACTCCTTCGGGGTAGGGGTAAGGTCTACGTATACACTACCCTCCCCAGATCCCACTAGTAGGATTTCACTGGGTTGTTGTTGTTGTTGTTGTTGTTGTTGTTGTTGTTGTTGTTGTTGTTGTTGTTGTTGTTGTTGTTTTTGTTGTATTTTAAATTCAACTTTGAATTAGTCTAAAATATTAATACATAAGTTATTTGATCATTATGTTCCAAATGTATTGAGTTCTCTCATAATTATTTTTGTAATAGATGCAGTTAACTTTTCTTTCTTTTTAGCTTTAAGATAAAAATTTAATTTTAAATTTTTATTAGTAAATTACCTATATTTTAACTTTATTATTTATTTGTAAAATTTTTATTTTATCATAGAAAAATATTTCCTTAATTGTTTGAACATATTATATCTAAATATTGTTTGAAAATATTTCCTATTACAATCTAGTTTTTGTAATACCTTACAGCTTGTTTGGATGGTTGTTACCTATTGTATTGTATCGTATTGTTACTTTAAATACAATGTTTGTTTTGATTGTTACTTAAATTTTATCATATCGTATCGTTAAATCCGTCGTTACGTAACGATGAAATGTGCCACTTTATGTAACGACCGATTTGGTGTGGTCGCGTCGTTACCTTGTCCTTTTCTCTCAATATCACCATTCATTATTATTAAATAATTTTATTTTATCATTTACCCTACCTTTTCATATATTGTATCATAATTTTTCTTTATAATATTGCAAGCTTATTCATCATATTATTGGTGCGTGGTAACATGAAACAACAGCAAAACGATATAATTCATTCAAACATTGTATTGATCAAACGATACAGTACAGTACAATACAATACGATATGATACATTACGAAACGATATAAAACAACCATCCAAACAAGCTGTTATTAATGGTGGTCAATTGATCACTAAACTATATGTGTAGGGACAAAAGAATTAAGTTAATTATGGTGTATCGTATTTTAATTTGGCTATGATCAAGAAAGACATTCAAATTTTGAAGATCTAACTTTTATAGAACCTTTAAGTACCATAGTTCAAAAAAAAAAAAAAAACCTTTAAGTACCTAATAAAAATTACATTATTTTTTAGTTGCACAATAGTATTATTTATAAAATATTCAAAATCCCAAACTGACAGTTCGACGGGCTGTATTTCCTCGGCAACTCAATCAGCTCCGATCAGTTGAAATTCGACGGACTCTTATATTGATCGCTGTTGCTTCCGGCCTCCGCCGACGAGAATTGCTCCGTCGGAGGCGACGCCTTAGAAGAAATGAACGGCCGGGGATCCAGTAACCGGCTATCATCCACCTCCGGTTTCCGATCTCGAATTTCGTTTTTAATGCTCTCTATGTTCTCTACCATGGCTGCTCTTTATGTCGCCGGCAGGTAACCTCTCTCTGTCTCTCTCTCACACACACACTTGTATAGTATGTCTGCATATATATACGTGTGATAGGCAGCGTAAAAATAGTTAGATTGTGAGATTGAGGTGCAGTTGATTATTTGAATGACTGATATTTAAGTTTTTATTTTTTATTTTTTATGATTAATTGTGGCAACTGGTAAATGCGTAATTGACAGGTTGTGGCTGGACTCTGAGAATAGGGTATATCTTATTCAAGAGCTTGATAGGAGAACGGGACAGGTATTTTCAATCTGGTGGTAGTATTGTTATATTTAATTGGTAGGTAAAGCTGATTTCCCCCCCAAATTATTTGGCCACAGACAAATGGCTAAACAAAAATTAAGTTGGACATTAGCCAGTAGAAGAGCATGAGGGCTGTTCAATCTCGCTTGTACAACTATAAGTACAGCGCAAGTTGATGTTTTTAAACGTACATAAACTACTTCATTAAATTATTTTTACCAGAGGCAGAAGATGAATTAGTAGCCGTGTATGAAACCGAATATTCAAGAATCAAATTTGGTTCACTGAAACCACAATAAGGTCTATATTGTCTTAATACGCTTAGGGCATACAGAAGTAAAGTTTTAGTTAAAAAAAGATCCAAGTAGGGATCAAAGAGCTGCACCTCAATCTAGGCAATATAGTCCAAACTTAGACAAAGAGGAATTTGGATACGAAGCATTGCGGGGTAGACCATGGCCCATACCATTCTTAATTTGATATAATCATATTCGTATTCGGAAAATTCGGATAGTTTAATGATGTTGGGAACTTGGCAATTGGCATCAAGATCTCAAATCAAGTGCTGTTTTATTGCTGCCGACGAGTTTAGCAGAGATACTAGGGTTTATCAAAGGTGATAGATATACTTATCTTCCTTTGCAGGGCCATTCGGCAATATCAGTAGATGATACATTGAAGATCATAACCTGCAGGTTGGATGATTATAACAAATTTCTGTCCAATTTAGGGAGAATTTCTTCTCGTATTGGAGTTTTATACTGGGGCTATACGGGCTGATGATTTCTTTGCCAGGGAACAACAGAAGAGGCTAGCTGCACTTCAGACTGAGCTGGGAAAAGCCAGTCAGGAAGGTTTTGTATCAAAGAATCTATTGGATAACAGTGAGAGGGATTCAAAGAAAAAGCTTCTAGCGGTTGTAGGTGTCTCAACAAATTTTGGCAACAAAAAGAACAGAGATGCGATCCGCAAAGCATGGATGCCTACTGGTTGGGCTTTCTTTTTCTCCCCCCTTTTTTCTTGGTTTCTTTTGGTTGGGCTTGTGAAGCTAAAATTCCCGACTCCACTAAGAGGCTGAACTTATGTTTCAGCTCTGTTGAACACATTTAGACTGGACTGTGTTGAATTCCTAGCAATATCATTGTCTTGTCTTAATTATAAGTATCTGTAGTATAACCGCTATCATGATGAATTAACTGACTTAACGTTCTTTCTACTAAATTTATAAGCTATTTTTGGCAGGTGCTGCTCTTAAAAAATTAGAGGAGGAGAAAGGTATAGTAATACGATTCGTCATAGGAAGAAGGTATCTACCTCGATAAATTTGAACTGAATGAAGGGTACACCATAAGGCTCTTTGCAAAACGAATTGCTAGATGCTTCTTTCAATGTTTGTACTTAATTGACTTTACATCTCATGCAGTTCAAGTCACAGAGACAGTTCAGATAGAGCCATTGATGATGAGAGCAGGCATTCCAATGACTTCATCATTCTTGTATGTGCATCTTTTGCTCATCATATCTTACAAGCTTAGTGTCTTGTTATCTACTAAAAGTAGCAAGTTTGCAACCATAAAAGAAACGAGCTTGGAGAATTAAATTGACCGACAATTGTTTTTCGAACTATCAAAGTGGATCAAATCTTCCTGGATAAACAATAATTAATAAAGGGGATATCGATAATGTTGTTGTTAACAGACTCATGTTGTACAGACTTGTTTTCATGTCTGTACGTATATGCCTTACCAATGTTCTGAAAATCGGTTTACTTACTGTGTAAATTCCAGTTCTAGAAGGATATGTATCTACAAGACTTGATATGTTAATATTATTTTCTTTCTAAGCAGAATGATCATGTGGAGTCCCCTCAAGAGCAAGCAAAAAAGACAAAGTTATTTTTCGTTCATGCTGCTGAGCATTGGGATGCTGAGTTTTATGCCAAGGTCAACGACAATATCTATGTTAATATCGGTACGCAGTATTAGGAGCCTCCAATACATACATTAGCATTTCAATTTTACTTTCTATAGTCTGCGCTCTGCAGATGTCTTTCCCTTTTCTATGATTTAATTTTGCTTTCCTTTTAGGAAACTGTTATGGGAGATTTGAAATTATCAAATTCTGTAGACTTAAGTGTGGGAATATGATCTACTAAAGAGTTTTGAATTGTATAGCATTGGCATCTTGAATCTGGAAGTGGAATAAAGAACTAGAATGAAATAGTACCTAGGCGATTCTTAGATTTTCATTCCTGTCAAGGTGTAGGCTTCTCAAACAGTGAATAAGGATTTTACATAAAGTCACAAAAATGTACAAAAAGGCAGTTGCAGGTGCCATGTTACCTTAATATTAAAAGGCATGGTGCCAGTGTGTGGTCAACCAGGCCTAGATTGATTACCCAGAGTGAGCAAAAGTAGAATTGGCCATATTGCATCGAGGTTGTTCAAACAAAACATCGCTTCATTTTACAAAGCTAGTATCAAAATGAATCCGATTGAATTATGATTTTGAGAGTTCCAACAACTACCGTGAATTCCTTATGTCAGGGTTTCTTTTGATTAAAGAAAGAATAAAGTAACTATGAATATGAAATCGTTGTCTATTTATTCAATAGATTGTATCTAGATGCCAATGAGAAATCTTTTAGGATTTTCTTTGTCTCTACTCTCTAACCATCAGTCAGAGTTGATTGGAGAGAGCCCCTTGAGATAGTAACATCCTAGAGATAGAATCTGGATCGGCTATGTCCTTTACAGAATACAACAACAGATAGCTCATGNGCTTTAGTTTATCCACAGATGCTGTTGGAGCCGTACTTGCCAGCCATTTGGATAAGCCTCGTGTCTACATAGGGTGTATGAAATCTGGCGAAGTCTTTTCACAGCCGTGAGTTTGTCTTGTTAATTGGATGATTGCTATTTTGCTGAAATAGTAATCTGAGAATAGAGTATAATTTAACCATAACCTAAATTTTATTTCTTATTCACAGGGAAAACAAATGGTATGAGCCAGAATGGTGGAAATTTGGGGATGGAAAATCGTGAGTTCTTCCTTCTATTACTATAAATCATCTGGCTGATGCAAGCAGTGCTAGATATGACTATAGAGGTTTACCGCTTCATGTGTTGTGTTTATACCTCTCTTCTGTCTGGTGCTAGTTGCTGGTGACTCTTGATTGAAACTATTGATCATGCTGTATTGGATTGATATATTTTTCCTTTTGTTCGTTCTTTATTCTTTGTGTTAGAAACCTTGAAGAAGGCTAATTTCCTTATGCTAATATTTGCTGGATAAGTTGAACACAATATTTGTGAATGGAGATTATTTAGAGATGTATAACTGCCACCAAGAGGGGCTTTCTTGACATTCTGTTTCTTCGATTTTCTTGTTATCATTGTGGTTCTAGGGAAATGGTTTGCTTAACAGCATTATTTGGCTTTCTAAAGCTTCTGCAGCTTCCAGAACTCCAAAACTTGTTATTTTGATCTATGAAGCAGGATAGGGAGGGATTAATCTCTTTGTTTTCGGGTTGATATCCAGTGATTTTACAGCCTAAAAAAGAGGTGCATAGACCAAAATGGAAGGCTTGCAAACAGATTGGGAAGTTTAGGAAAGTGGAATTCTAATTTTTTGGAACATACACCAAACTTGTGTCTCTCTATCAGTAATTCCAACTCGGACGTCTGAAATGCTGATTACATAGTATTTGAAATTTCTAGCAAAAGGGGAGGAGTGAAATGGCATCTGCTATCATGAAACTCTGGAGTACATGTAACTTTGATGTTATTCGTCCCATTAGGAGGCTAAGAGATTCGAGGTTCATAGATATGTAGAATTCTGTATCCCCAGTATGCTGCATTAGCCAAGTTGCCTAATAGTAGAAACTGCAACTTTTCAAGTATCTATGGCACTTACAACAGGTTTCATTATTAAGAAAATCTGGATATGAATATTAAGCATTTAGAATACTGTGCTCCTGCTCCTGCTTGATGGTTAGGAGGCAAGGTTACGCCTAACCAAGGTTGAGGAGCTAAGAGAATTGCAGTTCTCCCTCCCCGGGCCCAAAAAAAAGGAAGAAAAGTAGATATGTACTCATGATTTTTCTTGTCATGCTGCTGTTCTGCTGATATGTAATCAGGCACGACAAACCTCAAGATCTGCATACTGATGAGTTCTGCAACTTGTTTGGATGCTAATTCTTTCATCTTTTTTGTACTCTTTCACAAACAGGTACTTCAGGCACGCTTCCGGTGAAATATTTGCGATATCAAAGACCTTAGCGCAATTCATTTCTATCAACAAGTAAGATTTGTGGAATTAAGAATGTACTTAATCAAAAGAAATGTGATTAACAATATGTTTCTATTGCCAACAAGGCTTTGCTGAAGCGGCAAATGCTGAGGTGCCAAGAACCTTCACTTCACTCAAAAAGAAAAACAAAACCATATATTTCCATCAATTTTGATGGCAATAGTAAAATGCTTATTGTTTTGTCTCCCTCCACTTTGTAGATCAATACTTCGCACATATGCTCATGATGATGTGAGCGCTGGATCCTGGTTCATCGGCCTTGATGTGAAGCACGTTGATGAAGGGAAGTTCTGCTGCGCTTCCTGGTCATCAGGTCTCTCTCTCTCTCCTAGATATCAAGGAGGGTGAAAAAGAAAACGCAATTGCTTCCTTTTGCAGCAGTTATTGATAGTATAAGCGAATAGCTGTCTCCATATGAGTTGTGGATTGTTTTCTCTAGGAGGTTCTACCGGATAACTGTGATCCAAGTACAAAAAATCACTTTTTCATATTAAAATTAATAATAGAGAGCTATTGATTTATAAATTTTATGTTCCTCTATTAAATTATGGGTGATAAAGCTATACTGGTCTGAGTATACTGAGAATTACTTTTATTAGGAAAAAGAAGGTTTTCGCATAGGGATAGCGTGGTCACAAACTCACAATATGATGATGCTATCCTTATGTTAAAGCTTGGTTTAACTTAGTGTCTTAGTCTGAAGCTGGAGTACATGCTACCTCAATTACCTTGTTTTCCTTTCCTTCTAGAATTGATCCACTTGGTAGGGAGTGGTAGAAGAGACCAAATATCGTACTAGAAAAGGAACTTTAGCGAATTGTTGACTGAGATATTATATGAGTAGGCATTTGGGTCTAAAGAATTATATAAGTAGGGGTGGGGAAAATATTGCTATTGGTGAGGCCACTCAAAGTTATCTCTTTTCTTTTCTATTTCAATCTCGATTCAGCATGCAAGAAACAGTTTGAACTTGAGGTCAGTTCATTATTTAAAAGAACTGATTTGAGGTTAATTGCTTTTTTGTTTTCATCTTAGTCATTTTGCACTCTTGACTGATGAGTTCAGATGTATAGATATTGCTAGCTTTTATCCAAGAAATACTCCTTAAGATTATTTCTTAGCAGAATCAGGAAACAAACTTGAAAAAGAACTACTACTTCGTTGCTATTGTTACTTGGCGACTTGGTTGCTCATTGTGATGAGATAGGTATTTAGGATTTTTAAGTGCATACTTCAGTGAAGGAACTATCATCCTTAAGTACTTTATCCCAGCATTATGTATCCTTAACGGGTCGTTTGGTACGCGGACAAAATAGTACCGGGATTATAATCCCGGTACTAATTTATACCACTTGAGATATGGTATAAAATAATACCACATTTGATGGCATAAGATGGGATAATAAGTGGGATTAAATTTATACCTTGTTTGGTTGGAGGTATAAATTTATCCTGGGATTAATTTATGCCTCCAACCAAACAAGGTATAAATTTAATCCCACCTCTTATCCCACCTAAGTACTTTATGTATCCCAGCATTATGTTTCATTGTAGTTAACCATCATGATAATGAGTAGTTCTTGTTTTCTCTTTGTGGGGTTTTCAGGGTCTGTATGCGCAGCAGCTTGATTGGATCGCCTCTTTAGTAAATGTGGAGATCATTCATGTCACAAATCATTGTGAAGATCTGTCTTTGGAAGACAGATCATCTTTGCCGGAGTTTGCTTTTGCCTTTTGGTGCCTGGGGCAAAGGAGCTCGAAGTTTTTGACTTCAACTGCCAAGAGCCCTATGGTAGAGAGCACCTTGGTTTCGGACACACCTCGAGGAATGTACAAAGGGTTTTTTGGAGTATAGGGACTATAGTCGGATAAATTCATTGTATGGTGATTTATTTACAGAGTGACATTGTCCATTATGTCATCGTGTACTATGGACATTCTCTTCTGGAAATATACAGTTCGGTGGTCCCTTTAGAGTGCGCTTCAATAGCAATTTGCAGACTAATTCACCAAGATGGCATTATGTATGTTGAACTGTGTGATCATTTCCTCATATTTTTTTTTGTTAAATACGCAGTGATGAGATTTGAACATAGCACTTCTGCTTTTCTTATACTAATTGCTTCATCTAAAGACAACAATGATAATATATGATAATTGATACATTTACATTTGCTTAAACCTCCTAGAAGAACGACAATCACATACATATATATGGACTCAACCGCATATTTAGTGCCAAGCTTCTCTGCACAATACTTTCTCACAAAGAGAAACACTGGTGTCACAGGGTTAGGATATGTTTTGAGAAGGGTTTAAACTGGTGATTTACCTTGGTTTTGTACAGCCACTTGATAATTAATAGAACTTTCTTTAATTGCCAAAAAAAGTTACTGCTTCTTAGAACCTTATGGTTTATTACTTTGGAGGAATTTCCCAGGCAACAATATAATTGTCACTTTGGATCCTTTGATAAACTAGATTAAAAACAAGGGCAAAAATTACAATTTTTAAGTTGTTTCATGGGTAAATTGTCAATTCCAATTTTTGAGGAATAAAAAACCATAGCAGTAAAAGTCAGCCATTATTATTCTAAGCAAGCAGTGTAACATCCTATGAATATTCTAAACGAACATAAAAATTGAAGTTTTAGACGTGGCCACTAAAGTAATTATTTTAAGCTCCATAAATTGAAGGCTCCAAATGAACTAAATTATTAATTTTTTAACTTCAAAATAGATTTGAACTATTTATGTACAAAATTATTGACTTTCTATTCAGTGGTAAAATCTGAAATCACTAGACAAAGAGAATTTGAAAAAAATATTTATCGAGCCATTTCTTTTACTTCAAAGCAAATTTATGCTATTCAAAATGTATAGAATTATTTCTTATATTCTACTTAATGTTAAGAAACTCTTGAATATTTTTTAAAACAATACATAATTTCTTTGTGAAGGGTAGATATGCATACAAGTGACTCGAATACCATCGTTATTCTTCACATGCTTAGCCTGATAGTGGCTATGTATGCCCTCAAAGGTGGGGCTCTTGATCTTAGTAGTGCAGCCACTAGAAAATATAGAAAAACAAAAATAGTACTTACTGCTATAAAATATAACCCAAAATAACAATATAGAACAAGCAAAAACAAACTAAGAGATATAAAGAGAAAGAGAGGAAGAAAGATTCTTATTTCTTCTTCAATTGTGTGTTTTTTCCTATCTATTACAAGGCCTTTATATAGGCATAAAAAGTGAAGAAAATATGTCATGGAATATGTCATTGAACATACAAATTATGTCATTGAATATGTCATTAAGCATTTTAGATGAAGATCATGGAAGAAGAGTAGACATCCACCATAATGTGATATTCATCATAACACTCCCCCTTGGATGTCCATAGATAATGTGCCTTGTTAAAAACTCTCTAAAAAAAATATTGGGATGTACATAATTATTTATGATATGTATTGCTTGCTGCCTCATTAAAAACCTTACCAGGAAAACCCAGTGGGACAAAACCTTGGTTAAGGAAAAGAGTGCAGCGTATAGTTACTCCCCCTGATGAAAAATCA